CATCGTTACAAATGAATCACTAGTGTGTGTGTGTGGTGTGTGTGTGTGTAAAATAGAAATCTTCCAGGGTCTAGATAATGAAGGGTCTAGTTTCAAAAAAGAAAGAAAGAAAGAAAGAAAGAAAGAAAGAAAGAAAGAAAGAAAGAAAGAAAGGAAGGAAGGAAGGAAGGAAGGAAGGAAGGAAGGAAGGAAGGAAGGAAGGAAGGAAAGGAAGAAAGAAAGAAAGAAAGAAAGAAAGAAAGAAAGAAAGAAAGAAACTACACACACACTCACACATTTTTCCCTAAAGAGTCCTAAGGAAATGCTTAGAGATGTCATCCCCCAACAAGTCAAGGATGACCTCACAAGTCCAGGTTGCACACGTGTAAGTATCAGTCACTTTCCTGCAGACATCTCACACCACGGTGACAGTGAGGGCTGGGAATCCAGAGGGATATGTGTGAGCATCAGCTTGTATTTCTGCAAAGCTGGTCCCAGTCTATGTGGACCTGTTTGCCTCAGCAGCAGCTAAAATACAAGGTGGGCTGAGAAGAATTGCATTGGTGCTCTTTCCATGTGTTGTATCATCAGTCTTCCAATAACCCTTATTATTGGAAAAACTGTGACCTTCCCAAGGTCACACAGCTAATTCAGTAAGAGACTCAGCTTCCAGTTCACACAGACTGTGAACATTCTAGGTTGATTTTTCTTTGAAGACCACATATAAACTTCAGCCATTGCTTAGGGGAGAGTTTAAGAGCCAGATTCTGGATTTATCTGAAAGACTAAAAATCCCCAATAGCAAAACTATTATAATATAAATGATTCAGCTTGGGCAAGAAATTATCAAGCGTGTGTTTAATGTCATTAGTATTGCCCCATCAGAGAACCCAGCAGGCATTCTCCCTGCCCTCCAGCACACACACAGCTTTTGTTTGTTTTCAGGATGTCCCTCTTTGAGAAATGTGAACAACACAGAAAAGAGAAGACAGCTCATGTGCTTTCAGCATCCAGGAGACCTTCCTGACTACAGTACCCATCTACAATCATGAGTGAAATATAGTGATGTTCAAGGCTCAAGCTCAAGTCAGAAGAGTCAAATCTCTCCCTGCTGCTAAAAAACAATATCCTCACAGGGAGAATTATGAGGAAAAAAAAAAAGAGAGAACATACCTAGAATTTCTACTTTTCTACAATTTTGTCCTGGTTTTTCTTTTGAAGAGGTATTAGGGTTTAGATTTGTTTTCCCTTTAATCTTTTATGAAATTCCTCTTTCCAAAGGGACATCCTAGCATGTTTATAACAACCAAGGAAATAATACGAAGCTATGTAAGAAAAACTATAGCTTTTCACCCATTTCTCATACCAGTCAGAATGGCTAAAATTAACAGCTCAGTAAAGAACATATGTTGGCGAGGATGAAGAGAAATGGGAACCCTCTTACACTGTTGGTGGGAATACAAGCTGGTGTAGCCATTATGGAAAACAGTATGGAGGTTCCTCAAAAAGTTGGGAATAGAGCTACCCTATGACCCAGCAATTGAACTACTAGGTATTTATCCAAAGATACAAACATAGTGATTCAAAGGGGCACCTGCACCCCAATGTTTATAGCAGCAATGTCCACAATAGCCAAACTATGGAAAGAGCCCAGATGTTCAACAGATGCATAGATAAAGAAGATATGATAGACACACACACACACACACACACACACACACTGGAATATTAGTCATCAAAAAAGGGAAATCTTACCATTTGCAACAACATGGATAGAACTAGAGGATATTATACTAAGTGAAATAAGTCAGTCAGAGAAAGGCAATTATCATATGATTTCACTCATATGTGGAATTTAAGACACCAAACAGATGACCATAAGGGAACGGAGGGAAAAATAAAATAAGATGAAATCAGAGAGGGAGACAAATCATAAAAGACTCTTAACTACAGCAAACAAATTGAGGGTTGCTAGAGGGGAGGTGAGTGGAGGAGGGGGTAATTGGGTAATGGGCATTAAGGAGAACACTTGATGTAATGAGCACTATGTGTTACAGGCAACTGATGAATCACTAAAATCTACCTCTGAAACCAATAATCCACTATGTTACTTAATTGAATTTAAATTTAAAAACAACTATAGCCATTCAACCCATTTACTCTTTTTTTCTTTCATTCTTTACATCTAAGACTAAAGGATATTAATAGCCTGATGAGTATCTTTCCTATTCCTGTATGTAACAAAAACATGAACATGCACACATGGATTTTTGTCATGTGGTTCTTTTTATGCATCTTACCATTTGCACTTTGCTGTAACTTTCTTTCTCAGTCAATAATGCATTGTCGACACTCCTCCAAATGGTTAGAATATGAGTTTCTAAGTTTTAGCATATACATAATGGGCTGTGATATGACTATATGGAAATCCAATAGCTAATCATATCCCCACTTCTATTCTTCAAGTGCTTTTCCCTCCATGGATCTTGTCTTCCCCTTCCTGGCTCATGGCATGCAGGCAGAGCCAAATCAACTTCCTGTGATGAGGGCACATCTGAAGGTTTCAGGTCTAGAACACTGCCCAGAGTCATACAAGTTCTCCTTGATTTTCAACATCTACTGCTGAAGCAAACACCAAAGTTGAATAGAATTGTGAAGAGGACAAAGAAGGCTTCTGCTCTCAAGAACTCCTAATTATACCTAAATCACACAATAAGGGGGAAGTCTCAAGATAGAAGAGAATTCAGGGTGTATCCAAAAACACAAATTGAATTAGTGATTCAATACAGAATCTCCCTACCCCATGGATAGCATCCATAATTGAGTTTGAGTACCTTTCAAGTCTTCCACTGATCAGAGAAAGGACACTTTATTTTATTTTATTTTTTTTATTTATGATAGTCACACAGGAGAGAGAGAGAGAGAGAGAGAGAGAGAGGCAGAGACACAGGCAGAGGGAGAAGCAGGCTCCATGCACCAGGAACCCAACTTGGGATTCGATCCCGGGTCTCCAGGATTGCGCCCTGGGCCAAAGGCAGGCGCCAAACCGCTGAGCCACCCAGGGATCCCAGAAAGGACACTTTAAAAATGATAGATGATGAAGGAGCACCTAGGTGGCTCAGGTTAAGCCGGTTAAGCCTCCAACTCTTGGTTTCAGCTCAGGTCATGATCTTGGGGTCATGAGATCAAGCCCTAAGTGGGGAACCATGTTTGATGTAGAGTCCACTTGAGATTCTCTCCCTCTGCCCCTCTGTCAGTTCTCTCTCTCTAAAATAAATAAATCTTTTTTAAAAAAATAAGTAAAAATGATAGATGATGGAAAGAAAGATAATTGCTCAATTTCTATTGTACCTCTGCCTTTTCTGTCAGGCAAGAATGACTGGAAGATAATGACAAGAAAGTAGATATGGAAAGATATTGATACATCAATTTCTAACTCTATCTATCATATACCAATAGCTATTGATACAAGATGTGAAACTCAAATTGAGTTTGGAGTCTTTAAAACACTTTTTGTTGGGGTACCTGGGTGGCTCAGTTAGTTAAGCATCCAACTCTTGGGTTTTGGCTGAGGTCATGATCTCAGGGCCATGAGACTGAGCCCCACCTAAGGTTATGTGATTGGCACACAGTCTGCTTGACCCTCGCCCTCTGACTTTGCCCCTCCCCCTGCTCTCTTTTTCTCTCTAAAATAAATAAACAAATATATAAACAAATAAATAAACAAAAAATAAGTAAATAAATAAAACACTTTCATGTTTATGTTTCTGATAAACAGCATTTGAGGACTCCCAGAGAATTCAGAGATGAAATACATGAGTGGCTACGAGGATCTATAAGGAATGCTGGAGAAAGGACAGCTTATTCATTCATTCATCCAGCTAACACATTTGTTGCACATTTCCTATTTGCCAACACCTATGATTCAAAGGTGAACAAAAAGACAAGAACCATGTCTCTGCATTTTAATGAAGACTTAAGGCAGTGAACAAGGAAATAAAATAATGTAGGATTATAAATTGTATGAAGAATATAATGTCTTATGTGCTCCTAAGCTACACATGAAATGTATCACTCAGATTGGTTGCCACACCCTCAGCTGAAGGCTGACAAAATAGAATATACCTAAGGAGACAGATCTCCATGATAAACAATCTGGGAGCCTTGACATTCAAGAAATCAAAGAAAGAAATGATGTCATGTGGAATAGAAAATTCATAGGTAATGCGACCCTTGTCTTTAAATCCTTCAACTGTCATATATATAATCTTTTTACATATAAAATCATATATGTATAGTCATATATATATGTATATATATACACATATATGACAAAGTTCTATTAGAACTATCTGCAAATGGACCTCTTTGCTTTGGAAGATAGTACATACTCTATCATTAGAGGAAATAAAACTGAAGTAATAGGACCACCACCTGGAATATTGTGGAGAGGATGTGTATATAACTAATAAAAATCTACCTTTTACTTCCTTCCCCTTCTAAATGGAGTCTAGGAGAAAGAATCTTAGTCCAAGAACTTTTTTTTTTCAATATATATAATTGACAAAGTTTATTATCAAGAAACTTTAGTAGGTTTTTAAAAAGACTGTTTTGGTTTTAGAATACTGAAGGATGACAATCCACGATAGGACATATATAAACAAGATAATTAAAATATTAAATTAAAAGATCATAATTCAAATTGTTAAGTATAATCTTTGTGTCTTGTCAGAAGGAGCTCTACAAGTTACCCTTCATGAAATTCAGCCCACTAACTCCTGAAGACTACAAAGGCTCACGACAAATTCAATTAGATATTTTACAGTAATCAATGCTGAGTTTTTTGTGCTTAAGCATGCAATTATCACAGAAAGCACCATATCCTATTTACACGGATTTTTTTTTCTTTAAAACGTGTCTCAAGCATCTTTTAAAGTGCGAGCTATAAATATGCTATATCCTTAAAGAAAAAGGCTTCTAAGGAAAGTATGAACCAGCTTTCCAATACCACCAAGAGTGGTTATATAACTAACCACAGGAAGTTGGCGGTACTCTGCTAACTCTGTTTTAGTGTAGCAGCCTCCTCCACGGTAGGTGAGTTCTCGGTTCTTACTATACTACCAGCCGAACATGTACTTCATTGCTTTGGATACAAGGCTTTCATCTTTTTTTGGTGTTTGTCTGTCAGAAATAACCTGATAGTCACTAGTAGAAGCTTTGTATGCTGTAGCAAGAGGTCTCATGGTAGAAATCCTAGGAGTACTTCCAGGTTGGGTTGGTGTACCTAAGGTTTTGATTGGTGGTGTAAAGGCTAGAGATGGAGATGATAAAGCACATCTGTCATTGTTTTCCATAACACTTTTATCTATACATGGTTTTACACCAATCATGATGGACTCTCCAAAAATCCTCCCATCTTTGCTTAAGGCTTTCCGGGCCTGCAGTTTAGATTGATAATGAATATGCATCCAATTTCCTGTGTTAGACATCACATGTTTTAAGATATTCCCATATTGTGCAAATTGTAATAATATATAGGAAGCAGATGCTTGAGGAAACCCGAACACAGTCACCCAAGTGTCATCAAGGTGATCTTCAGAAGTCAGAGAATCTCCTAGAGTATAAAAAGGATCCAGCTGTGCAGGAGATAATGTTGTCTTTCCTGGCTGACCAATGTTTGCTGGACTAAACATACTTTGCCCTGCTCCAGGAGTAGGAGTAGTTGTCATAACTCCAACAAGAGGACTCTGCATCACTGAAATGTTTGGCTGTCTTCTTGAAGTTAAAGGTGTTGATCCAAGTCCTGGGCTGGAAATATCATCATATATACTTCTAACTGGTGGAGCTCCACTTTTATCTTTATGAGCTGGTACAACTGGTTGTGGTGGTGATCCACCTGCAAGTAAAGGTGATCTCATTTCCATTACTCCTACCGACGGGCCACTGATTGATCGAGGTTGTGGAGTTACTGGAGCTGGCAAATCCCCCATTAAAAATCCAGGTAAGAACTGGGCATTAACCCCTGGCTTCGGAGATGTCGGTGACCCTAGCATCATTGGTTTAGATCCCGGCGTGGGCGCCTGGGCTTCCACCTGGGCTTCCACCTGGCAGCGACCACTCTGCCGGGCCCCGGGCCTTCCCGGTTTTCAAAAATGGCGGAAACTCCTTAGTCCAAGAACTTAACAGTCAAGCCCCTGGAGGACATCACCCTGAGCATTATTGGGAAGACCTTGATATGAGTAAATCTCTCCACATAAAAAAGGGAGAATAATTGTTTTGATTCCATTTGGGGAAGGATATAGAAGAGAGGACAAAGAGGGAAATAAAATTAAAGACAGTGATAAGTATTGGAGAAAAAGGAGTCTTATTTCAGGCATACCTCCAAGATACTGTAGGTTTGGTTCTAACAACCACAATAAAGTCAATACCACACTAACTCAAGTCAAATGAGTTTTTGGTTTCCCAGTACATGTAGAAGTTATTGTTACACTATACTTTTAAGTATACAATAGCATTATGTCTGAAAAAACAATACATACCTTAATTTTAAAATACTTTATTGATTTAAAAAAAAAAAGCCAAGCATCCTCTGAACTTTCTATGAGTCATAATCACTGATCACAGGTCACCAAAACAAAATAATAATGGAAGAGTTTGAAATATTGTGAGAATTACCAAAACTTGACAGAAACACAAAGTGACCAAATGCTGTTGGATAAATGATATCTATAGACTTGCTTGATACCAGGTTGCCACAAACCTTCCATGTATAAGAAACACAATCCAAAAAGCACAATAAAGCAAAACACAATAAGACAAGGTATGATCGTACACTGTTAGCAGAAATATAAATTGATTCAGCCACTTTGGAAAAGAATATGGAAATTCCTCAAAAAAATTAAAAATAGATATACTATATGATCCAGCAATCCCACTTCTGGGTATATACCCATAAGAAATGAAAATAGGATATCAAGGAGATATTTTACAGTCCTATGTTAATTATGACATTATTCACAAAAGCCAAGGGAGGAATGGATAAAGAAGATATCATACATGCACATGCAATTAGAATTCAACTATGAGAATAAAGGAAATCCTGCCTTTTGCCAAAGGATGGATGGACCTTGAGGACATTAGTTTAGTGAGATGTCAGAGAGAAAAAAAAATAATGCATGATATCACTTAGGTGTAAAATATGAGAAGGCAAACTTGTAAAAACAGAAAGTAAAATATTGCTGGCAAGGGGCTTGGAAATGGACGAATAGGAGACATGTTAGTTAAGGGTAGAAACTTGCAGCCAGTAGTAAATAAGTCCTAGAGATCTAATGCACAGTGTAGTAACTATACACAACAGTATTGTATTGTAATAATCAAACTTGTAAAGAAACTAGGTCTCAATTACTCCCACCACAAAAAAAGAAATGGTAGTTATTTATGTGCTGTGGTAGAGGTGCTGTCACTACAATGGCAATTACATTACAATATATAAATGTACCAAATCAAAACATTGTACAGCCTAAACTTATACAATGTTATATGTCAATCATATTTTAAAGAAAAAAAAGGAGAAAAGAGGAAAGGGGAAAGAAGAACATCTGGAACCTGAATTGATGAAATGGTCCATGAACTGTTTGAAGAATAATTAAGTCTAACATTCAATCTTAATTTGTTAGTAGAACTGATTTTAGAAAGTACTCTGTATGTGCACACATGTACACACAATTGCCTACGGATGTGTGTGTGTGTGTGTGTGTGTGTGTGAATGTGTGTTTAAATTAGGAAACAGGATTAAGAACCTTATTTCCGTTGATGTCGGAAAACAGGAACAACCAAGTTTTGTTCATTTATTGATTCATTTATTCATCCATTTAACAAATATGAATGAGGCACCTATAATGTTTCATGAAACTCAGTTCTGCAGGTTTTTAAAACTGATATGTATTGATCTAAGATGATATTGATTGTAAAATAATGGTACACCATTATTTTATGTAATACTACAAGAAAAAAATGCTTCCAATTAGACTACAACTTTAACTGTAAGTTTGATCTCATTTTCAGAGATGTTAAAATGTGAAAAAATGTGCATTTTAAATTAAAATATAATAGTCCTTTATCTTTTAGGATCTGCTTGGAATAACACATATTAGGTAGGTAGAGCTATCACATTTTAAGCAGCTGATGAAAAGGAAGTTTTCCAGAGGACACTGATACTTGGATAGAATCAAAAACAGAAAAGCAGAAGAAAAATATCCATACACACAGAATATAACCAAAGCAAGAACATAGAGCTGGAGATGTCCCTCAGTATTCTCAGAAATCTTTCCAAGTGTCTGGTACTTTCTTTAATTCACAGAGTAGGGGTTTCAACCAAAAGCTAAGATATCTTTAGGAAGTATAGGGAAAAGATATCCCAAAAGAGTATCACATGGAATCCTACTCTGCAGAATATTTTTTTTAATTTTTTTTATTTATGATAGTCACACAGAGAGAGAGAGGGGCAGAGACACAGGCAGAGGGAGAAGCAGGCTCCATGCACCGGGAGCCCGACGTGGGATTCGATCCCGGGTCTCCAGGATCGCGCCCTGGGCCAAAGGCAGGCACCAAACCGCTGCGCCACCCAGGGATCCCCTCTGCAGAATGTTTAATAAGGCAATATTGTTTATCAAAAAAAGTTTGGAAAGGATTAAATTACAACAAAATTGAGAGGATTATTTATTGCAGTTTTCAAAACACTTTATATGCAAATGTATATTGTAACCAATATACCAAGGAGTAGTTTTCCCAGTTTTTAAAAAACTTTTCGTGATCATACACTAAATATTAACATATTTAGAATCTTTATTCCAGAAAACATCAAACTGTTAACCACTGATATAAAGTATAACTAAGTAGTATTGTTCAAGTGGTATTTTATCCAGACATGCAATTTGTATATTAAAGTGGGGCTGCTTTGATTTAAGGCAAATAGAAGGGCTATAGGGAGAGAGAGGCAGTGGCTTGGAGGTTAAGGCCATCTCCCTGCCCCCAGGAAAGCCCTTGAGTCCTCCTCAGGGACAGTTAAATTCTACAACTCAAGGTTTGGAATAATGCAACTTCTAAGGTTCCTTACAATAATAGGCTGAAGCTGCCTCCAAGTGATTCTTGAGAGCCAATTCTCCTCATATCTTCCCAACTCCACTCTCAATGATATCAAGTGTAGCATGAAACCAGCCATCATAGGAGTATTTATACCACAGAAATGGACAAACACCACAAATCAGAGTTTGTTTCACCAGAAACTCAGTTTTCCAGAACACTACTGCTTGAGATTATGATTCCAACCTACCACAAGTTTTTGAGGTGAAGAAAGGGCAGAGATTGAGCCATGATGCCTTCCTTTGTCTGATTTCAGTCTATTAGACGTAAAGAGCTATCCTTACATGTTTTTGCTGTCAGGTTTTCTTCTCTTGCTTTCAACTTCTATGATGCTGAGAACTCATCAGGGGTTTTAGAATTACAGAAAGACTTACCACATTCACATACACACATCAATATTTTCTTAATATTAAAGTATAAATAAGATCACGCATGAAGCAATTATATGAGATAGAGAGAAATTGTCATAATCGAAACAGCTAGGAATCATGACGTAGGGCTTTACCACAAATGTATTCTATCTTGTATGGTGTGCCATTTTGATTGTCTTCTTAGACTCAGTCTGCTGAGGCTGTTATAAAAAATACCATAGACTGAGCGGCTTAAACAATAGAAATTTATTTCCGTCAGTGCTAGAGGTTGGAAGTCCAAGATCAAGTTTCCAGCAGAGTTTGGTTTCTGATGAGGGCTTGCTTCCTGGCTTATGAGTTGCTACCCCTCACACATGAAGAGGGAGAAATCTCTTTCTTTCTCTTCTTATAAAGCCACAGGTCCTATTGGATTAGGTCCCTACCCTTAAGACTTCATTGAACCTTAATTACCTTTTAAAGATTCTATTTCCAAATCAGTCCCACTGAGAGTTAGGGGTTCAACATATGAATTCAAGGCAAGGAGGGGACACAACTAGGTCCATAGAAAACTGCAAGGTCCTTGAAGAGAGAGCATAGCTTAGCCGTCTATATTTTAACAAATCACTACAGCATGGGATATGTTACAACTGGGTAAATATATGGTAATTGAGAAAAGACATTCCACTCCCCAATTTCCTATCTCCATGCCTACTGCTCTTTTCTAGGATTAGATAAACTTTGAGGGTAAAAGGAATGAAGACACAGAGTCCTACAGAAGGGAAGGATCTAGAAAATCCTGGCACAGAGTAGGAACTGAGTAGTATTGTTAACTGGTGGACTGAATGTCCTAGGTCATCCGCTGAGTGGGGACAACAGTTCTTAGGGATAATAGTTATGTCTTACTTATTTCTGTTTTCATAGTGTTTAATACAGTACCAGGTTCAGGTGCTCAATATATTTTAGTCAATTAATTAATGTTGTACAAAAAAATTGTAACAGCAGAGAAGTCCCTCTTACCCCCTTTGGTATAGTTAGGTCATCTGTGCAATGGGAATAATAATGTCTTAAAGGCAGCAGACTGCATTAACCGATCTTTTAGTCAAATTTAGCACAGAGCTTTCTGCTTCTCATCATTAACAGAAGAAAAGATGATGTAGTATTGGAAGGAAGCTAAAAGGAAAGGCAAGTTTCTTTCCCTTTCCTGCATATCACAAAACTGTCCTGTTCCAGGTCTTTATTCCCTGCCCCTGTTCACTGCACTCTCAGAAGGTGTTTATGTGGTTATAAACTGACCAAAGAATGCTACAACTTAAGGTTAAGATGCTTTTATGCGACACAGGAAATAAAAGATAGAAATCAAAGTATATGTCTTCCTTGGATGATAAGGTTCTCAGCTATGATCTTGCCCAGAGTCTCCATGGCTGTGCATCAACCCATCCAGATGAAAAAATTAAGTGCCCTTGAATCACTGCAGTTTTTTGTTATGGCTCAGCTGGATGGTGGAGAATTACAATTGTGCTTACTACTTATACAGTATTGTGACACTCAGCAGACCAGCCTGACTTAATTTGTAATCTCCATAACCACTCACCTGC